GTTTCTTTTCAAAAATATCGTACCCAAAATATCATTCCGAAGACCCTATTTTATGCAAACCCCAAACTCAAATCTAAGTAAAATACTTTTGTTTCCTCAAAAATCCTCAGCTGGTCTTTACCACGTGAGTTGGATGTTAGGCGTGCCACTTGCTTTGTCTAAAAACAAGAAAATAGGATTTTCCAGACGACCCTTCTCCTTTCCAGCGGTCGACCTCCAATAGTGTCACGCCCCAAACCTTGGAGCAAGACAGACGCCGTGCACTCGTGAGCGAAGCCCACAACTGCACAAGGCTCGAGACCTGCTGAGTTCATAGTTAACAATTCAAGTAAGTCAGATCTACGACTTTTTAATTACCAAATATTTACCAACCAGATGTACAAAAGTTATCACTTCATATACACAATCATGACCAACGCTAAATTCTGTACACAAAATTTTCTATGTCAAGCATGGGTGACTAACGGCTTAGCTACAAAAACCTAAGTCCAAAAGTGCCTAGCCGTCTAGCTCGTCACTCCCCCGGGCTCCCCATGCGTCGGGTCTCACTACCTGAAATGGTGGACAAGGAAAAACTATGAGATAAACTCAGTAAGTAAAATATGGAGTGCCCTTATTAAACTTATAGCATGCCAACCAGTATAATCACGAAAACAAGAGATGCGGGTACGGAACGAAATAGACGTCTCCTCCATAGGTCACGGCCAGTGTTTAACACTCCCACTGGCAGGCAACAGGAGTTACTAGTGTTTAACTTCCACTAGCAGGATAACATAAACGAACCGGTTCTACAAAAATACATGTCGACATGTGCTAGCGTTTAACACTCCCACTAGCGGGCAACAGGATAACATGACCATATCGGAGACAAAACAGGCTGAATTTAACTGAAGAACATAATTCACCAATCTCTTTCAAATCATCAGGACAATCAATTAAATCTCAAGTAGGCATGCTCAATTTAATGAAAAGCATAAAAATTTCATTTTAAATCAATCATACTTACTTTTGCATAAAACGGTTTAGTCCCGCCACCATTTCAAAACAAATCAAAACATGCTTTAAAAATAAAAAAAGGGCGTTACCATAATTTACTTACCTTAATTGCACAGGACAGAAGACTTAATCCAAGTGCTTAGGGTCACAGGGCAATCAAGGACCTAATCACAATATTCCCAATTAATATCTATGTATATACCATTACACAATTACACATACACAATTTCTCAAACTAATGGACAGGATTGGAAGAACCGGCCTTGACAAAAAGGCCAATTCACAGAATTCTCCTCCTTTTCTCTCGGACACATACACAACAACCAATTTAAGGATTTTTCTACTTAAATCATCAACCAATCCATTTTCAAATTGCCAAACTTATCCCCCACCTCCGGCAGATTGTTTTTGGACAACCCAACACCGACACAACCACTTAAACTCACAAATCAGCACTTAATCAACAATTTTTCGGAAATTAGATGAGCCAACTTACCAGAAATGCTCAGCAAGCAAGGCTGGAGCTGGCGGTATGGGAAAGAGCCGGCAGGAAAATTTGGGGAGCTTCACGCAGACTTCTAGCAATTGAAAGGAAGGAGAATTAGAGTAACTCACACAAACTAAAGCTGAAAAGAGAAATTTATGGGCTGGTTTTACCAGGAAGAAAACTAGCAGCAGCCGGCGGCAGAGGGGGAGGAAACAGAGCAGATCCGGCGGCTTTTCTGCAAAAGAGAGAGGTTCTAAGTCCTAGACTTGTTCTTGGGCAAGAGGAGAACAGAAATCAAGAAGTTCTCTTACCAATTTGCAGATAGGGACGCTAGAAAATGGCTGGGTTCACTTCGGCTGTAGCAGGGAGAAAAAAACAGAGCAGACGCGAAAATGGCTGGGAGAAGGAAAGAAAGAAAGAAAAAGGAAAAAGAGATGAGTCAGCCGGCCTTATCCAATAAGAGTTTTAACCCCTTTAAAGTTTGAAAAATTGACAGTTAGGTCCATTAATAATGTTTCCTCACTATTAAGTCCCTAACTCCACTTATATGCTCTAGGAAATTTTGGGGTATTACAAATAGGATGGCTGGAAAGAACGTCTGTGAAATGAATTGCGCCCCAGACGATGTTGCAAAACAGAGGGTAGAGCTCTGCAAAATGGGTTACTAATTGCCTTGGAAACCTCCAAGGACTTCACAACCAAACAAATGTAATAAAAGCTACAAATCCTAAAATAAATGCAATATCCTAAAGCAATTAAACTAACATGAAATAAATAACAGAAAATAACATGCCATAAAGATTAAATTCGCAGACAACAGAAAAAGTAAAATAACAGACAATGATTTTCACTACGCAGCCCATAATGATAACTAAAATTGAAGAAGAACTATGAAATGATTAATGTCTGGAAACTTACAAACTTAAATCTGGAAATTGAAACTAAACAACATGCACTAACCGAATCAAAAGGGCAGACCTGTTTTGAAGGCTAAGTTGCTTCCAAATGCTTAAAAACTAATCGAAATTGGAATTTGTGGGAGAAAATATGATGAACAAACCTAGGCTAAGGCTATGAACTAATCTGGAAAATCTGGAAAGTCTGGAAAATCTGGAAACTATTGCTGAAATCTGGAAAATGCAGTCTGAAAGCTGAAAAACATGCTCTGGGCAGTCTGTGTGTGTGCTGGGCAGGCCGATCACTGTTCTCTTCTCTCTGTTTTTGTTCTCTTTCAGTGCTGGAAACTTCCTCCATGAATGTCGGTACTGTTCCTCCATGATCTGGTAGTGGGGTTCATGTCTGGCAGTTACTTTGACAGTTATCCAATTTTTATTTAACCTTATCTCCAACAACCTTAAGGATAACTACCTAAAAATCCTCAATTTCCCATTTTAAATTAAACCCAAACTACCAGATCCCATCTTATCTTCTACCACCTAGGATCCAACCTCCTTAGAAATCCGTCTGGGCCATTAAATTGCAAGCTAACTTAGCCCAAATCCAGCCCATTGATTTTCTTAATAATTGGGCTTTACCTTGACACGTGGCCTTACCCTATTGGTTTATTTTAGGTGTAAACAACTTTTAAGGCTTTTGCTTCAGATCAAAACTGTC